TGTCCAGGTTGCCTGAGTGAATGTCTGGAGGTGTAGGCACCCCCATCCACCTTTATTCTTTTCTTTACAATAAGGCTTTCAAATGAGTCGTTGTTGTACGGCAGTGAAGCATCGGTGTTGAATACTGATGTCATGATGTCGATGATGATGATGATGATCCAATTGCACGCTTGAGACAGATCGGAAAGTAAGGGACAGGCAGCTAATTGGCAGGCTTGCTGCTCAAACCGTCGACTTTTCCGATCTCGCGAGTAACATGGCAATGTTCCAGCCATCCTACTCCACTCGGATTGGATGGCAACTGGCATAGTGCTACATCTTTGCTTTATTATCATTAAGATTGACTTATTATTTGATTCCAGCAATGTAGCTGTTATCAATTTGAGAGGATCTCTTGGACTTCCGTTAGACGTTTTCGCCTCGAGGATGACAAAACCAGTCATTTACCTTAGACTTATCCAATCCGCCGTGCTGGAACTTGATTTTGTCAATTTACATCTATTTCCTAAAATTTCATATTTAGTGATAAGTTGTCGGATTCGAAGGCGGTTGTCACCAACAGACCAGCCAAAATGGTGCATTTCCGCCCATTCCACTGAAATCCGCGTTATTCACGCTTGGTGGGCTGTCTTACCAGTTGCATTTTTCTGTTATCAAATGGGGAAAAGGGGATTTCGATGGGCGAAGTGTTGGACCGATTCATGTAATTTAGGGAGTTGGAGTTAGAGCGGCTATGAGCCACCACCAAGCAGTTTGGGGTAGACATTGTGTAAGTTGGGATACACAGGTTTTCTGGAGGTTTGTTCGGATTACTTTTATTTCGAGTCAGCAATCGGTGTAAGCGTTTAAGTAGGTACGTCATGGAAAGATGTATTTCGGTTGCCTGCTCGTGGCCTTGTACTTGGCCGTTAGTGGTTGTTGCTAAGTGGTGCGGAATAAGCTCACTCTAATGTCCGAGAGTCGATCGGACTGCTGTGGAAGATGCATCTTCTGCATTCGATCATTATCAAATGAACACTTGTGAATGGATCCAAACTCCGAAAAATCGGATTTAGTAACTTTTCATCTATCACGTTGTCTGCCAGCCTATGATGTCTGTTCCAAACAGGTAAAACGGAGTGTTTGTTAGTTGTTCACACACCATTCTCGCTTGTGCAACATTCTTTTCGCTCGGCGCG